AGATACTATGAAGTTCATCAGTATAGACCCTGACAGGGGATCAGAGAGGTAGGGGATGCTCCAGAGAGAGCAGTCAGGGCAGCCTCCTCTTAAGAGATGCCATGTAAGCCAATGAAGTGAATCCTGGGGACAGTGCGGGTGGGGGAATCTTCCAGGACAAGGAAACAGCAGAATCTCAGATCCCAAGCAGCAGGTGGAGTTGAGCTTGATTTTAGAGGTAGGACTGAGCAAGGGTGAGGGAAAGAGAAGGTCCAGGGTGAGTCTCAGGTTCTGGGAGTAGCAGCTGGTTGGATGGTGGTGCGATCCCAGAGGTGGGAAACCCTGGAAGAGAGCCGGGAAACAGCTGAAAATCAGGAGTTGGGTGTTGCCCTTGTTAAGTTGGAGAAGCCTATCGGATATCCAAGGGGAGGTAGCACTGGGCACTTGTAACTATAAGTCTGGCTCTTTGGGGAGAGGCCCAGGATGGAAATATCAATTTGGGAATTACTAGCTTGCAGTAAGTATATAAAATCGTGAGATCACCCAGGAAGAGAAGAGAAGGGACACAGGACTGATTACTGGGATGCTCCAACATTTAGAAGTCAAGGTCAAAGAGGAGCCAGAAAAGGAGAGTGCGAGAGAACATCTGGTGAGTGTGACAGAAGGAAAACCAAGAGAGTGTAGCAGCAGTGGATCCAAACAAAGAGTGCTTTAGAAGAGGGTAAGTGTTCTCCATGTCAAACGCTGCCAGGAGATCACGCAAAGTGAGCACATAGACACGACCTCCGCATTTTTCAATATGGAGGGACTTTAGAACCCTGACAACAGGAGTTTCAATGAGCTGATTTGGGCAGAAGCCTGGATGGAGGGAGTTGAAGAATAAATGTTGACTTCTGGATAAATGGCAGATGGAGTGAGACCCCATCTCAAAAAAAAAAAAAAAAAAAAAAAAAAAAAAAAAAAAAAAAAAGCGGGGCTGGGGACAGGTGTAGCGGCTCACACCTGTAATCCCAGCACTTTGGGAGGCCGAGGCAGGTAGATCATGAGGAGTTCCAGACCACACTGGCCAACATGGTGAAACCCCGCGTCTACTAAAAATACAAAAATCAGCTGGGTGAGGTGTTGTGCGCCTGTAATCCCAGCTACTTTGGAGGCAGAAGCAGGATAATTGTTTAAATCCTGGAGGCGGACGTTGCAGTGAACCGAGATCGTGCCACTGCACTCCAGCCTGGGTGACAGAGCAAGACTCCATCTCGGGGGAAAAAAAAAGTCTTGGTTTTTCATTTGTGATGGACCACAAATGAAAACCAAGACGACCACTTACTCCCGGGAATACAAAAAGGTGTTCAGAGATAGAATCATCATAACATACTACATGGCTTAGCTCAGAGGCATAATCGCAATCTAGCATGACATCATCATGTCTAGAAAACGGTGGATGGACGGTATGTGTCGGTGAGGGGGAGGAACTGGCGAAGGAGCTGACCCCTGTCTTTTGAAAGCCTGAATGAATCAGCATCATGAGCTGACATGTAGAAGATAAAAGGGCTGAGAAGATGTGAAAAGTAGGTTGGGAAAGGAAACCTGTAAGGGATGTGTAGAAGGGTCTGGGGTATCTGGGGGACCCATGTGACATATGGGGTGATGTGTTGGAAATGCTGCCAGTCAGCGTAGTATAGAGACTTTTCCCAGTCAGGGGAGGTTCTGAGAAGGTGGGTCCTGGGGGAAAGGGGTCTTGGTGTCAGAGGCCAGTCTTAGAATAGAAATTCAGGTAGACCAATCTGGTCAGCACAGGGGCCCTGGCCTGTCCCATGGCTTGGGCCCTTCAGTCAGTCTGGCTTCATCCATTTTCAGTTGTTGACTCAACTCCCTGCAGTGAAGAGTGGGTAAGGCTCTGGCCTCCCTCCTCACCTAGCCTCACAATGCACGGAGTCTCAGTGGGGCAATGGCCTCAGATCAAGCTCATTTCCAGGCCATGAGTGGAATGAAAATGTCCCTCTTGGACTTACCCAAGAAGCTGCCCACCCCCCAACCAAAAAAAAAGTATTTATTTAAAATTAAAGATGGCCCAGGCACAGTGGCTCACGCCTGCAATCTCAGCACTTTGGGAGTCTGAGGCGGATGTATCACTTGAAGCCAGAAGTTTGAGACCAGCCTGACCAACATGGTAAAACCCCATTTCTACTAAAATGCCCCCTGTGGGAAAATCTCCCAGCTCTTAACAGGAAAAATGGCATTGGCCAGCCCTGGTGGCTCAGCCTGTAATCCCAGCACTTTGGGAGGCTGAGGCAGGTAGATCACCTGAGGCCAGGAGTTTGAGACTAGCCTGTCCAACATAGTGAAACCCCATCTCTACTAAAAATACAAAAATTAGCTGGATGTGGTAATAGGCGCCTGTAATCCTAGTTACTTGGGAGGCTGAGGAGGAGAATCACTTGCACCTGGGAGGCGGGGTGGCAATGAGCCAAGATTGCCCCACTGCACTCCAGCCTGGGTAACAAGAGCAAAGCTCCATCTCAAACAAAACAAAACAAAAAAGAATAATGGCATTAATAATGCACAATACTGCATACTACTGTTAATCAACTTTACAGTGATGCAGGAACTTTTCTTTTCTTTTGTTTGAGACGGAGTTTCGCTCTTGTTACCCAGGCTAGAGTGCAATGGTGCGATCTCGGCTCACCGCAACCTCCGCCTCCTGGGTTCAGGCAATTCTCCTGCCTCAGCCTCCTGAGTAGCTGGGATTACAGGCATGCGCCACCATGCCCAGCTAATTTTTTTTTTGTATTTTTAGTAGAGACGGGGTTTCACCATGTTGACCAGTATGGTCTTGATCTCTTGACCTCGTGATCCACCCGCCTCGGCCTCCCAAAGTGCTGGGATTACAGGCTTGAGCCACCGCGCCCGGCCCCCTTTTTTTTTTTTTGAGACAGAGTCTTGCTCTGTCGCCCAGGCTGGAGTGTGGTGGCATGATCTCAGCTCTCTGCAACCTCCACCTTACAGGTTCAAGGATTCTCCTGCCTCAGCCTTCCAAGTACCTGGGACTACAGGCTCGTGCCACCATGACCCGCTATTTTTTTTACATTTTTAGTAGAGATGGGGTTTCACCATGTCTCCTGATCTCATGATCTGCCTGCCTCCACCTCCCAAAGTGCTGGGATTACAGGCATGAGCCACCACACCCCACCTGATGCAGAAACTTTTCTAAAGCTACTTTTTTTTTTTTTTTTTTTTTTTTTGTGACAGTATCTCACTCTCACCCAGGCTGGAGTGCAGTGTCTTGGTCATAGCTCACTGTAGCCTGGGCTCAAGCAATTCTCCCACCTCAGCCTCTGGAGTAGCTGGGACCACAGGCATGTGACACCATATCTGGCCAATTTTTAAATTATCTGTAGAGATGAAGTCTCTCTGTCTTGCCCAGGCTGGTCTCGAACTCCTGGGTTAAAGTGATCTTTCTGCCTTTGCCTCTTAAAAGTGTGAGCCACTGTGCCTGCTTTAAAGCTATTTTTTTTTTTTTAATGTATTTATAGGCTGGGTGTGGTGGCCCACACCTGTAATCCCAGCACTTTGGGAGGCTGAGGAGGGCAGATCACAAGGTCAGGAGTTTGAGACCAGCCTGGCCAACATGGCAAAACCCATCTCTATGAAAAATACAAAAATATTAGCCAGGCATGGTAATGGGCACCTATAATCCAAGCTACTTGGGAGGCTGAGGCAAGAGAGTCACTTGAACACAGGAGTTGGAGGTTACAGTGAGCCAAGATCGTGCTACTGCACTCCAGTCTGGGTGACAGAATGGGACTCCATATATTAAAAAAAGTATTTATTTATATATTTAAAATTAGAAATGGCCCAGGCACAGTGTCTCACGCCTGTAATCTCTGCACTTTGGGAGGCTGAGGCAGGTGGATCACTTGAAGCCAGAAGTTCAAGACCAGCCTGGCCAACATGGTAAAACCCCATTTCTACTAAAAATACAAAAATTAACCCGGCATGGTGATGTTTGCCTGTAATTCCAGCTACTTGGGAGGCTGAGGCAGGGGAATTGCTTGAACCCAGGAGGTGGAGGTTGCGCTCTGTCTCAAAGAAAAAAAAAATTAGAGGTCTTACTATGTTGCAGAGACTGGTCTCGACCTATTTCGGTCTCCCAAGTAGCTGGGATTACAGTCATGAGCCTCCATGCCCAGCTCTAAAACTTTTGTATAATAAATTATTGATTTCCGTCCTCACAATGACCCTAGGAGGTGGGTACCATGATTTTCCTTACTTCACACTGGGAGAAAGTGAGGCATAGAGAAGTCCAGTGAGCTGCCCAAGCAATAGAGGCTAGACCCTAAGCCAGGCCACTGGGAGCCAGTGTCCCTGCAATCACAACTGCCCAATGCTGCCTCTCAGAGGGTCCTTGCAGTCCCTGAGGGGTCATTTCTGAAAAGGCCAATGTCACGGCCTGAGTGTAGGAGGCCCCTCCTGGGTGGCTGGCCCCCTCATTGCCCTTGGTGGGGACAGGGCTGCTGCGTCCCCTGGAGCTTCCTGGCAGCACCCAGGTGCACCCTGGAGAGGAGGCCAAGAGCCTGTGGGAACTGGGAGAGCTGTGGGCTGTACACAGCTTCAGAGCCAGGGGGTGCCCGGCCCGAGCCCCAGACCAGTGGGGCCCTCTGGTGGCCCAGGGAGAGAGGCCACGGCCTCTTCAGACCTGCCACCTTGGGATTAGGAACCAAAAGTGGCTTTCTCAGGCTGGGTCCATTTAGCTACGGCTCCTCCTGCACCCTCCCCCAGGCCCGGAGCCCCCTGAGCTCTACTCCCACCCCAGGCCTCAGATGCTACCTGCTCTGACTTCCACAGACTACGGTCCTGGTGAGCGTAGAAATGGGGGCAAGCATTGTCAGTTTTCCTGGGGGGTCTCCCCACCTTTGAACCTGACTTGGTGTTCTTGCTCCCCATGGTAGCTCCCCCGACTCATGTTCCTACCTGGGAGGGGGTGATGGGTTATGTGACGAATGTGCCCGCAAGGCCCCCAGTTTCAGGGCCTGAGTCCCCTTTCCCTGCTCTATGGGTGTACAGGGGTGTGATGTCCTGCACTTCCCCCAGCCGCCTGCCACCCCCCCAAACCCATGAGAACAAGCCCCTCTCATTCTGTGTCCCGTGACTCCATGCCTGCAGCTGCCTTGTCCACAAGGCAGGAATCCCCATTCCTGGAGCAGACAATACAAAGCCCCCGTCGTCGCCACTCTGGGCTTGTGATGTTCTTGGTCCCTTATTCTGTTGTCACAGGGCTAACCCTCCCCACACACCTGGCTGTCCCCTGCCCCACCGCTCTTGAGCTGCGCCTGCCCCTGCCTCTAACAGACAGCTTCTCCGTTCATCTTATCTTCTTGGACCCCGAGCCCTTTCTGGGTAACCAGAACGCTCGGAGGCAGCGGCCAGGCGACCCCTAGTCTGCCCCTCTCCCTGAATCCAGAGCTCTGCAGTCCCAGTAGAGGCAGTTGCTGTCATTCCATGGCCCATGACAGCCCGGCGGCCCGCATCCCTCCCCCATGGTCCCCTGCACAGACAGGCCCACGTGTGTCCCCAGATGCCTGAATCACTGCTGACGGCTGGGGACCTGGCAGCTGTGGGCTCCTGGGGAGCCACTGGGGAGGGGGTGGTGGCCACGTCTTGCCTCTGAGCGAACACCTGCGGACATAAATAGGGAGCCAGCAGAGGCAGCAGCACAGAGCCACCAGGCCGAGCTGCATACTGGGCCCACCGCGTGCACCAAGATGCCTGACGCCACGCTGCCTGCCTGCTTCCTCGGCCTACTGGCCTTCTCCTCCGCGTGCTACTTCCAGAACTGCCCGAGGGGCGGCAAGAGGGCCATGTCTGATCTGGAGCTGAGACAGGTACCTCCCACTGTGGGCCATCTCGGGGCTGCCATAGTGGCAGTGCTGATACCTTGGGTCAGGGGCTAGGAAAGAGGGAAGTCATGGGTGATGGCAGTCTTTAGGGGAAGTGCGGGGGAGGAAGAGGGAGGCATGGCATGGCTGGGCAGAGGAGCCAATGGAGTGGGTCAGAGGAGACCAGGCTTTTCGGGAGGCTGGGAAAGGCTGAAGGGGCTCCTGGTCACTGTTGCCATCCAGACAGGGATGCAGGGAAGTGAGGGATGCTTCCCCTGTGACTAGGCTTGGGGCTGGATCAGGGACAATGTGGCATAATGGCCTCCCCTGTGCCCATGGCGTTCTTGCACCTGGACTGTCTGGGGCAGCAGAAGCTCTGTCCTAGCTGGCATTGGAGGCTTTCTTCATCTAGCCCCAGCCTCCCAGCCACAGGCACCCAGGCCCCTACAGAAGATGGCCACCGGTCTGAGTGCACTTGAGTGGGACAGCCTGTGGGGAAGTTCTACTGGGAACCTGGCCTAATTCTCCAGTCCTGGCCGTTTCCTCCATTTTCAGCAGAGCTGAGGGAAATCCAGCTATGATGTGCAATTCTGTCCAGGTGCAATGATGAGCCTTTGAGCAAATTAGACCACACCAGGCTGGGCTCAAAGTCTAACGTGCTATCCGTTGCACCACAGAGCCGGCTGTTGAAATTAGAGTGGCTGGGTGGGTAACCCCTGAAGCCTCCCGTCCTCCTGGTTGGCTCCTATGGGGTCCTGAGGCACCTGGGTGTCTGTGTCCTCCGTGCCCTCCTCCAGGGCTCAGGCCCCTGCCACTCACCTGGTAGGTCATAAGCTGCTGAGCAGGGGGTCAGAGCCCCAGCTGAGGCCCAGGAGCTTGGGGCAGGGGATGAGGAGGCGGGGAGGGGAGGGTAGAGGAAGGGCCAGGGATTTGGATGGGCAGGGCCTCTGTATGGTGGAGCGGGGAGGGGCTGGACCCCAGCTCAAGCCACAGCGGTGACAGGAGGAAGGAGGAAGGGTCTGGAGTGGGGGGGGGGTTGAGTGGGGGGCAGCTGCAAGAGTGGCGCCCACCAGCGATGGCCCTGGGGCTAGAGGAAGGGCTCCACGGGAGACCCATCCCCAGCTGAGGGTGAGGACACTGAGGGCCATCACTGAGAGGTCATTCAAGAACCCAAGGTGCCGAGCGGATTTTGACGCCCCGCCCTTGACTGCGAAAGAGGCCCCAGCGCCCTGGCGGGTGCAGCGCTGGTGTCCCGCCCGCACTCCGCCCCAGACCCGGCATCCCCGCCAAGCGGGTTTCCTCTCCAACCCCGGACCCCCGGCTCGCCGCTCCTCCCGCTCATCCCGCCCGTCCCTGCAGTGCCTCCCCTGTGGCCCTGGGGGCAAAGGCCGCTGCTTCGGGCCCAGCATCTGCTGCGTGGACGAGCTGGGCTGCTTCGTGGGCACTGCTGAGGCGCTGCGCTGCCAGGAGGAGAACTCCCTGCCGTCGCCCTGCCAGTCCGGCCACAAGGCCTGCGGGAGCGGGGGCCGCTGCGCCGCCTTCGGCATCTGCTGCAACGACGGTGCGCGGCGGGGGCGCGCTGGGGCTGGGGCGGGTGCTGACCGTGTGGGTGGGGGGGATGCGGGCCGGGGCGGGGGAGGGCCCCCATCCCGAGCTGCGCCCACCCCAGGGTGCCTGCGCTCACGCGCTCACAAGCTCACACGATCACAGAGAGCTGCGTGATCGAGCCCGAGTGCCGCGAGGGCTTTCACCGCCGCGCCCGCGCCGGGGACCGGAGCAACGCCACGCAGCTGGACGGGCCGGCCGGGGCCTTGCTGCTGCGGCTGGTGCAGCTGGCAGGGGCGCCCGAGCCCTTCGAGCCCGCTCAGCCCGGTGTCTACTGAGCCCCCCGCCCGCCCCTACAGCACGGACAATAAACCTCTAGCAATGCACCGCCTCGAGTCTGTCTCCGTCTGTGGCGGGAAGAGGGAAGGGGAGGGAGGTGGGAGCGCGGACCCCCGCCACTGCGCCGCCTGGTCGGTCCCCGGACCTGAGATCGTGGGCAGAGCCACCTCAGAGAAGCGACAGGTCCCGTAGAGGAAGCGATCTGGGACCCTCAGAGGTGTCGCTAGACTGAGGGACATGGGGAATTGGGAGGCAGGGGAAGGGGAGACCAGAGGCTGAAAGTGGTCTCGGAGAGGGTGGGTTGGGGATCCTCCGGCAGAGGGAAAGAAGTAAAAGCAGAAGCCGGGCGCGGTGGCTCAGGCCTGTAATCCCAGCACTTTGGGAGGCCGAGGAGGGTGGATCACGAGGTCAAGAGATCGAGACCATCCTGGTCAATATGGTGAAACCTCGTCTCTACTAAAAATACAAAAAATTAGCTGGGCATGGTGGTGAGTGCCTGTAATCCCAGCTACTCAGGAGGCTGAGGCAGGAGAATTGCCTGAACCCAGGAGGCGGAGGTTTCGGTGAGCCGAGATCGCGCCATTGCACTCCAGCCTGGGTAACAAGAGCAAAACTCCGTCTCAAAAAAAAAAAAAAAAAAAAAAAAAAGAAGTAAAAGCAGAGAGGGGCAAGCCCTGCAGGACGAGACAGCAGGAGAGCAAGAGACACAGAGACAACAGAATGATGGAGAGAGGGGCCGGGCACGGTGGCTCAAGCCTGTAATCCCAGCACTTTGGGAGGCCGAGGCGGGTGGATCACGCGATCGAGACCATCCTGGTCAACATGGTGAAACCCCGTTTCTACTAAAGATACAAAAAATTAGCTGGGCATGGTGGCACGTGCCTGTAATCCCAGCTACTCAGGAGGCTGAGGCAGGAGAATTGCTTGAACCCAGGAGGCGGAGGTTGCGGTGAGCCGAGATCGCGCCATTGCACTCCAGCCTGGGTAACAAGAGCGAAACTCCGTCTCAAAAAAAAAAAAAAAAAAAAAAAGAATGATGGAGAGAGGTAGAGACCTTGATAGTGACCAAGAGAAGAGTGAGAGAGAGCAGAGGGGACAGACAGGCCAAGGGGTGGCCATTCTGTCCTCATTTTCATCCCAGGAGACTGAAGCACAAGCCGTTCAGGGACCCACCCAGGTCCCGGGACTCCCAGTGCAATGTCAGTTTCACCCAAGACGGTGCTCCAGTGTGGTGGCGGAGGGGATGTCACCGCAGACCCGGCGGAGACAGCGCCACCTGCTGTCCGTACAGTGTACCCACCATTCGGGCCCATCAGCCAGAGTTGGGGGATCCCTAAGGATACAGCCCCACACCCCCACAGGCACACTTGGACAGAAACAGACAAGAAAATAACCGCCAGGGACATGTCCGCAACCACAAAGACCCTGAGCCCCACATTCAGAGCCACAGACACACCCAGAGAAACAGACACAGCTGACACAGGGATGGGCAGGAGCAAGTACCCATAGGCTCACGTGCGCAGGAGTGCACTCACATTAGCTCCGGGACATGAAGACCTTCTGCCCTTTGACACAAGCCTCTTTGACACAAAAATGTCCACCGGCACTCCGCCTCTTCCTCTACCCTCTTCCCTGGAGTCTCTCACCCACTTCTTCAACCTCGACCCTTTTTTGGTCCCATCTGCCCTTTCTCTCCTTTGTCTCTCTTTGCTCTCTCCTCCCTGTTCTGCAGCTCCAGGCCCCCTCTTGCCTCTCCTTGGCCCCTCCACCCCTCCCCATTTGTCCCCTTGGCCTCCATCCCTCCCCTTCTGTCTCCTCACCCCCTCTGCCACCTCCCATCCTTCTATCTAGGCCTCCTCTGTTCTCTGCATCTTCTCCTTGGGCTTCTTTGCTCCAGGTCTTGGAGCCACAAGAGGCTGTATCTCCTTCGGGATCCTCCAGAAACTCTCAGGCCAGATGGAGTGCAGGAGGAGGGAAGTCCCCAGGGAAGTCCTTCCCCTTCCTCAGGGAAGAACTGACCCCAACGCCCAGGCTTCTGGCCCAGCCTGGTGACTCAGGCAGCCCAGCCTCAGCAGCCCTGGGCAGAGTCCAGGCACATGCCAAGGTCAGACTGTCTTCCACTCTCCCATGGCTCCCCTTGTCTCTCACCCCTGATCTGGTTCTGGCCTCCTCTACCAGGCAGTACCTGACGTGACTGGGTCTAGCCAGCCGGAGCAGGGGCCATGCAGGCTTGGGTCACTGCCATGACCTCCTGCTCCTGTCTCATGTGGTCCATTCAGGGCCAGCCCTCATCTGATTGGGGCTGGAGCAGGACCAAACCTAATAGGAACTGATTAACTCTTCCAGACTGAGAGGTAGGAAAAGGCAGGTGGCTTGGCTGCACTGAATCCAATCCAAAGTGTTAGTGTCTGGACTTGGGGACAGTTTAGGAATGAGATGCAGGAACTTCCTCTTCCCAAATACAGACTTAGAGATGCCTTTCCTCCACTTGTCTTCAAAGCAATCAGGCGACTAATTCTGGGAAGGGATGAGGGATGTCTGCCCGCCCATACTTTGCCCAAACGCCCACCCCGCTGAACAGCCTTTCCCTCTTTCTCCCCCTCCTTGAGTCCCCTGACCCAGCTACAGAGCCATTTAGCAGGGAGAGCTCTGGACTTGTCTGCTCAGTCTCTCCAGGGCAAAGGGGCTGCGGCAAACCTATGACAAGTCAAAGCAGAGTGTCCATGCTGGTTCATAAAAATGGTAACATTGGCAGGGTCACTTTTTATTTTTATTTATTTTTCAGCATCTATATTAAGGACACAGCAGTGTCTCGTCTTAAATAACTTCTTGGCCCAGTGCAGTGGCTCACGCCTGTAATCCCAGCACTTTGGGAGGCTGAGGAGGGTAGATTGCCTGGGGTCTGGAGTTCAAAACCAGCCTGACCAATGTCGTGAAATCCCATCTCTACTAAAAATATAAAAATTAGTCAATCATGGTGGCATGAACCTGTTGTCCCAGCTACTTGGGAGGCTGAGGTGGGAGAATTGCTTGAACCCAGGAGGCATAGGTTGCAGTGAGCCAAGATCACATCATATATATGTGAGTCTATTTCTGGACTCTCCAATCTGTTGCATGGATCTATAGATCTATTTTATTTTATTTTATTTTTATTTTTTAGACAGAGTCTCACTCTGTCGCCCAGGCTGGAGATCTCACTCAACAGCCATGTTGTCCAGGCTGGTTTCGAACTCCTGACCTCAAGTGATCTGCCTGCCTCGGCCTCCCAAAGTGCTGGGATTACAGGCATGAGCCACAGCACCTGGCCTAAATCTATCCTTTCTAAAATACTACCCTGTTTTGAATATAAAAACTTTATCATGTTGTGTGTCTTTTCCAACTTTGTTCTTTTTCAAGATTGTTTTGGCTATTCTAGTTCCTTTGTCATTCTATATAAATTTTAGAATTAACTTAATGATTTCTACAAAAAAATCCTATTGGGAGTTTAATTAGAATTGTGTTGTATCTGGCCGGGCGTGGTGGCTCACGCCTGTAATCCCAGCACTTTGGGAGGCCAAGGAGGGTGGATCACCTCAGGTCGGGAGTTTGAGACCAGCCTGATTAATATGGTGAAACCTGGTCTCTACAAAAACAAACAAACAAAAAAAACAACAACAACAACAGCAACAACACAAAAGAATTGTGTTGGATCTTTCAATCAATTTGGGGAGCAGTGATATCTTTACTCTGATGAGTCTTTCAAATCAATAAACAAAATATATCTCTCCAGTGATTCAGGTCTTCTGTCTTCCATCAGCATTTTATAATTCTCAGCATATAGAATTTGTATATATTATGGAAGATTTCCATCCAAAAGATTTCATATTTTTCACACTATTTTATTTTATTTATTTATTCGGGACGAAGTCTCCCTGTCACCCAGACTGGAGTACAGTGGCATGATCTTGGCTCACTGCAACCTCTACCTCCTGGGTTCAAGTGATTCTCTTGTCTCAGCCTCCTGAGTAGCTGGGATTACAGGGTCCCACCACCGCACCTGGCTAATTTTTGTATTTTCAGTAGAGACGGGGTTTTGCCATGTTGACCAGGCTGGTTTCGAACTCCTGACCTCAGGTGTTCGAAATCTCAGCTCACCACAACCTCCACCTCCCAGATTCAAGCAATTCTTCTGCCTCAGCCTCCTGAGTAGCTGAGATTACAGGCATGCACCACCACGCCTGGCTAATTTTTAGTATTTTTAGTAGAGGGGTTTCTCCATCTTGGTCAGGCTGGTCTCAAACTCCCGACCTCAGGTGATCCACCCACCTCAACCTCTCAAAGTGCTGAGATTACAGGTGTGAGCCACCATGCCCAGCCTGTGTTTTAAAATTTAACTTTCAAGTAGTTATTGCTAGTATATGGAATTATGAATTATTGTTAATTTTATGTGTTGACTTTGTATCCTGTGATGTTGCTAAATGTACTTATTACATCTAATAATTTTTTTGAAGATTCTTTGGAGTTTTCTACATAGACAGTAATTTCTTTTTTCTTTTCTTTTCTTTCTTTTTTTTTTGCTGAGGATTTCTGCAACTTCTTTCCATGCCACCCCAGTCAGTGTGGCAGCCATGCTTTGATCAGACTCCGTTTCACTGCATCATGGTCAGGCCATTGTTCCCAGCAGAATCCTGGCGTAATCATGGGGTTCAGCTAGTAAATTTTGCTCAATCTATCAAGCTTGAAAACAGTCGCTTTATATATTTTATTCAGTTTTGCAACTGCTTATGGTAGGAGGTCTAGTCAGTTACCAGTTACTCTGTGGACAGAAGCAAAAGTTCCATCTTAATATTAAAAGAGAAATGATTGTCATTTCTGCTTTCATCTCACCTGGGTCACAGACATGATGCCCAAAGAACAAGTAATAGTTTTGTGACATGAGGACAAAGGTATCTACTAAGGCTGACACCGCAGGAAGGCAGGATGGGTAGGGTTGTGAAGGCACTGTGGAATGGCTATTCTAGTCCTAAAATGCTGCTCTCTGGCCTATGAGTTGCACGAATAAA